TGGAATACTTTAAGAAGGATGGGTATTCACTCTTCTTTAAGTGTTTGATAAAATTCAGCTGTGAACTTCTTGATCTGGGCCCATCATGTGATTTCAGCAACAGTTGCTGTTAGCACTCTAGCAGTTTTCTTCCTATTCTTCCCCCCAGTGATTCTGAAGCAGAACTCAGGTGTCATACATACCATTTCATCCACAAATATTTCATTGTTTATCTCTAACAAGAGAAAGATTCTGTTTAGTAAACCCAGGACATTTCAAAGTCTGCTGTGCATTGCTGGTAATGTATACATTTTGCTGTACCCTTAAAACATTAACTAAATGAGACATGATAATACAAAAAGAACACAGGGTAATTGAAGCAAGTGTAATTTTATAAACATCAAGATATAGATTGTAAACCATAAGCCAAACCTAGTGTTTTGGAGGTAGTATAACTGCATAAGAAATGCTTTAGGTGAGGGATTATGAGATATAATACTGATCCTATGTTTCCTCTAATTCAGGGGTTGACAAACTACATTCTGTGGGCAATACCCAGCCTGTGTCCTGTTTTATGTGATTTGTGTGCTTCGAATAGTTTCTATATATGAGCTTGTACAATATGGAGAATATGTGAAGGAGACCCCAATGCACAAGCTATTTACTGTCTAGCCTTTTGAGAAAAAAATGTGTGGGCCCCTGCTGTAATCTAACTGAAGTAATGTTTGGTTGCGTAAACTAAGAAGTGGTACTCCACATTCCATGACTCAGGTGTAATTGGCCTTAGTCAAAAACTACAGACAGTCATGCAGCTCACATAACTCTTATACATTATATTCTGTATAGAAATGACAAATTTTAAGTTGAATTTCTAAGAGCCGCGTGTAGATTAAGATCTGTGTCTTGATTATCACTTAAGAAAATTTTTCTTTAAATAGTTTTCCTTTTGGGAAAAGCATATCCCCCCCCACCTCACCCTTGACTTTCTTATGTGTGTGCTTTAAATTTGGATTATGTATATATGTATTTTATCAAAGTAATATATGTAATTGAAAAGGTGAGCTACAATGCTTTCAATCTCTTTGAATACTTCTCCCAGCTCTGAGCACCATTCAACTTTGAGTGGTTTCTTCTGGTGTTTCTATCCATATTTCTAGATAGATACTTAAACTGCTATTTCTGGCTTATTTCAGTCTTGCAAATGTTTACAGACTTCTACTGTAGAAGAGGATTTGTTCTTTCTCTTCCATTGCCTCTTGTTATTTCCTTATTTGCATATTTCCTTTGCCCCAGTAAAGTCATGAGTTTTGGTTCGGTCACACCTGTTGTCATGTTACTGTGACCACACACAGGCTGTGTGCAGCTGACCCACATGGTCCACTATGATCACGTTCCCTTTCCTGATTAGTTACCTGGGATTACGTACGTGAACATCTTGTTTCGTTTGCTTTTTTTGTGAATTTGCCACTGAGTTGGGATCCAGACTCCCTTCCAGTATGTTTCAATACGTCAGCAGTCGACTGAGTTGATCTTTCTGGGAGATCTGTCTCCTGGGGCCAGCCAGCTTGCTGCTCCAGCCTGGGTCAGTGTATTTGAGGACCTGCCTGGTAGTCATGAGATGCTCCTTCTCTGATCTATGGTGGATCCTCCTCTGCTTGGATCCCTGGTCTTCTTGTATCTTATTGAGAAGTTTTTTGAACCTGCCTGTCACACTTAGTAATTTTGCTGACTTAAAGGTTACAGCTAAGAAATCATGTTTCCTGAGAAATGTGCAGGCTCCATAGTCTTCCTTTTTTCAGGATTGCCCTTGGGAAGGACACTGTTCCTCTGATTGCCTGTCCCTTATAGGAGTTCTGTTCTGTGTCCGGAACTTTCAGGATCTCCTAATCTCAGGTGTTCTGGAATTTTATTGTTTGTTTTTCTTGCCAGGTACTTGTATTAAAATTTTTGTAGTATATTTTAAATTTCTGAGATTTTTTTGTTCTCAGACATTTGAGTATAATATCTCTTGTGTCACTGATACAGTATTCTCTCTGACCTCTTAAGTATTCTTTAGTCCCTATGTCAGTCTGTTTCTCCAAGTTCCTTTTTTTCCATTTTGGTTGCTTTTATATTAGCGGTTTTCTTCAGGTATCTGTCTGAGCCCTCTGTTCACATGTGAACTGCTAAAATGTTGTTGGAAACCTCTGGATTCTTAGTGGAAAATGTCTGGCTGGAGGGGGTTGGCCTTCAGGTAGCAGAACCAGTTGGCAGTACCTGCAGTTGTCTCTGTTGAGTCTGTCAGCTTCCCCACAGGGAAGCCGACCCTTCTCCCCCCGAGGGATGGGTGAGATTTCAGGTGCAGCTGGTGTTCCGGTCACTCAGGAGGGAGAGGGGTCTGGGTGGAGAGTGGAGGCTCCTTTGGGGTGATGTGCATCTCTCCCCCTCAGCTGTGGTTGGTATCCATAGCTCCTCTGTGTGGGCGAGTCTCCGCAAAGGGGGGCGGTGATCTGTGCATCACTCCAAGTGCCAGTTCTCGGCCCCGTTCTCTCCCCACCTTTTCTAGATCGCCAACACCTCCAGTTGCTGGGCTTTTCAAGAGGTTCTGTAGCATAAATTGGCATTAGGTTGGTGCCTTGTTTTACGCATTTATTTAGCTGGCATTTGGTAATTTACTGTTTACCAATTTGCTTTCAAATAGTTAACATTTTTCCTCTACTCTGTCTCTCCCATTTCTGTCTTTTAAGAGTTTATACCTTTCAAAAACCATTTCAATACAGGCACACACCTGATCATCTACAACTGCTCTCTTACAACACTAAACTATGTTTTCTACCTTTATCTTGCATCTATCTACCACTTCAGCAGTTTATTAAAAATAAAAATAATAATAAAGGGAGAAATGTGGGATCCACATATAAATCAAGTATAAAAATCAAACGAATATTCATATTTGACCTGATTGTTTATAGTTCACAATGCGTGATCAGAACCGAAAGTTTCTGTGATGAAAGCCCTTGTACTGTTTATTATGTAAGAATTCGTTCACTATGTAAGAACTTGTTCGTTATGCTTCAGAAGATTGGAGACTGACAAGAACTAGGCTTGAGATGGATTAATGATTGTGCATTGAGCATTGACCCCCCCATACAGAATTTTATTGTTGTTAACAACCATTTGATCAATAAATATGAGAGATGCCCTCTCAAAAAAAAAACAATTTCAAGTCAAGTTTAGTCATGTTTTAGAAATGAATAAACATGTGTTTAAACCACCATGATGCAGTAAAAATCTTGCCTTTAAGTTACTCTGCATTTGTGTAAAATAAATGTAACTTAATTATCAGGTAACACATCGCTGAAAATACTTTGTAATTGACTTCCTTAAAGAAACAGGCATATTTATAGATGAATACATAGTATTCTTAATAGTATTGAAATTTAGTTTTTGGCACCTAATAATGATGGTAGATTCTCTAGTCCTCCATCAAGAGTTCTTTTTTTTTTTTAAGTTGTAACACTGATTTTTTATTTTGGTATCATTAATCTATAATTACATGAGGAACATTATGTTTACTAGACTCCCCCCATCACCAAGTCCCCCCACATACCCCATTACAGTCATTGTCCATCAGCATAGTAAGATGCTATAGAGTCACTACTCGTCTTCTCTGCTGTACAGCCCTCCCCATGCCCCGCCTCCTACATTATGTGTGCTCATCGTAATGCCCCTTTCCCCCCCCTTATCCCTTCCTTCCCACCCATCCTCCCCAGTCCCTTTCCCTTTGGTAACTGTTAGTCCATTCTTGGGTTCTGTGAGCCTGCTGCTGTTTTGTTACTTCAGTTTTTTTCTTTGTTCTTATACTCCACAGATGAGTGAAATCATTTGATACTTGTCTTTTTCCGCCTGGCTTATTTCACTGAGCATAATATCCTCTAGCTCCATCCATGTTGTTGCAAATGGTAGGACTTGTTTTCTTCTTATGGCTGAATAGTATTCCATTGTGTATATGTACCACTTCTTCTTTATCCATTCATTCATCTACTGACGGACACTTAGGTTGCTTCCATTTCTTGGCTATTGTAAATAGTGCTGTGATAAACATAGGGGTGCATATGTCCTTTTGAGACTGGGCTCCTGCATTCTTAGGGTAAATTCTTAGGAGTGGAATTCCTGGGTCAAAATGTATTTCTATTCTTAGTTTTTTGAGGAACCTCCACACTGCTTTCCACAATGGTTGAACTAATTTACATTCCCACCAGCAGTGTAGGAGGGTTCCTCTTTCTCCACAACCTCGCCAACATTTGTTGTTTGTTTTTTGGATGGTGGCAATCCTTACTGGTGTGAGGTGATATCTCATTGTCATTTTAATTTGTATTTTTCTGATGATTAGCGATGTGGCAAGAGATCTTAAAAGATCTAAGAATTGTATATTTTAGTCTCCCTGGATGTTAGCGCACCATTGTGTTTACTTTGTCATAGCTGTCCATACACTCCTATATCCATTTAGAGAGCCTCTGAGAGAAAGTAGAATTGTGATGAACATATTCACATGTTGAAATCATTCCATGGCTTTCCTTCAAACATAATGAATGGAAATAGAGTTAAGAACCAGAATACAGGGGATCTATCTTCCACACATCAGCATACTCTTGGAGCTACAGCTTCTCTTGGGATCTAGAACACTGCACTTCTTGTTCAAGTTGCAACATAAGTGTCCCTCTTTTTGTCTGCTTTAACTAAAATATATCTTTAAAAAAATTTATTTTTAACGGACCTGGTCTCCATTAGATCTTAAAATCTCAGTGTTGTACATGATTTTCTTACATTGCTGCCAGTATAATTAATTTGTTCTTACTGGCTTCTTTGAAGGAAACCTTCTTGTTCATTTTTAAAGATTATATTTAATAATTAAGTATATAAACTATTTGTAATTTTGACTTTTCCGTAACTCTTTAACAGTTCCATGCTGCCGAGGTACTAGTAAATACATATGGAATGTAACTTTTGTTCCTTTAAAAAGTTGATTCTATCACCTACAGGAGCGTAACTCTTGACCAGGCAACAGATAGTGCAAAAATAATTGGAAAGGCCACACTAAACATGTTTCATATGATGAAACTAAACATATCGGACATGAGAGGGGTAAGTATATAATGTTTTAAAATTCTGACTTTCTGAAATGTTCTCATTTGAGGCTTGACAGAATGGTCAGTGGGGAGAGGCATGTGGCTTATATGCGGGGTTTTGGCTCCTTTGATGTAATACAGAAATAGAAACTGAAAATTCTTGACTTTGTCACCCACCTGCTCTCCCTCCTTTTCAAGCAAATTTGTTCTGAGAGTTTTGTTTTCTGCCTGGAGTAATATTGTATCTTGAACTTTTCTAGCACCTTCTCTTAATTAGCCAAGGACTGATCTTTCACACCCACTATCTTGCTTCCTGCTCTCATTCCCCTAGTAGATAGGACTGTGAGGACCATGAATCTGCAAATAATTCTTGTACCTTTAAGGTCCTATATAATCAGAAATTTATTCTGATGGATGATGATCTAGAAGAGAGAGTTTATCACAGGCGCATAAAGATGCCTCTGGAACAGATAGGTTGAGGGCATCAAAATCAAAAACCTTCACTTTCTTAAAGGTGAACTTTTATAGGTTGGCTTGTGTGCACACACATGGAGGAGAAAGGGTAGTTGTTGGCTTGGTGTGGGTCTTGTGGAAGGATTAAAAAGTTACTAAGCCAAGCACAGTTAAAGCGTCTCCCTGAAATACTGTTGTTATAAGGCTGTGTGGTGTTGGGGGTGCGGGGGTCATCAGAACATCACTGCCCCCCACACCACTGTTTATTTGAAAAGTACTTCCTCCCATCCAAGTACTAACCAGGCCCGACCCTGCTTAGCTTCCGAGATCAGATGAGATCGGGCACATTCAGGGTGGTATGGCCATAGACTGAAAAGTACTTCCTTATTTATAAAAAGAAAAATGATGAAATATGGTTCCAAGTAAACTGCCCTCTATTTAATAAATATTTTTAAAGTCTTATTTTAAAAACTTAGCTGGCTAGAACTTCAGTGGCATACAGAATTGCACTTCTTTAGATTTTCTGATTTTAAAGAGATTGCGGTAAAATACTGCAAAGACTGAGGTGAACAGAACTGCTCATGAGTGTAGTCGTTTCTGAAATCAATATAGAAGACTGTTTTAATACTTTCATTTAATCTTTTATACTAAAAGATATAGAAAATAGTTCAATTAGCCAAAAATTTTGCTTAGCTGAATTTATATTCCACTTTAGTTTTCATAGAAACATATTTTTTATTCTGGTTCTAGGTTGGGATTCATGTAAATCAGTTGGTCCCTACTAATCCAAACCCTCAGTCGAGCCACTTTCCTGGTGGGTCACACTCTGTCCTTGACCTCTTCCAAGTTCAAAAAGCTAAGAAATCTACAGAAGAGGAGCACAAGGAAGGTCAGTGGTTATCAGCGTGGCTCTTGTGTCAGCATGTTCACATCCTTAGGAAGGCTAAGTTAATTTAAAGGTTGTCTGGTATGGACGGTTGTGTGTGTCTCTTTTTAAGAAAAAAATGTCATTCTGAATTACAATAACTCAGTAATAAAACTTGCTGTATTTTCAAAAGTTCAAAGTATCTCCTTCCCACATAATCTAAAGAAGCTATTTAATGTATTTTCTATACTTCCAGTATTTCTAGCTGCTATGGATCTGGAAATATCTTCTGCCTCTAGAACTTGCACTTTCTTGCCATCTTTTTCTACACACCTGACATCAAGTATCAACCCTGTTACTAGCAAAGCCGAGTCTTCAGGGAAATGGAATGGTCTGCATTCTCCCATAAGTTTAAAATCAAGACTTAACCTGAGTATAGAGGTCCCATCACCTTCCCAGGTATATTCTTATAGTAAGTGCAAAAGTAGTTTGCAGTAAGAGTGTTTTAATGACCAGTGTAGCCAAGAAAGGGAGAAAGGGCTACTTGTTAGGATTGTGCTGTTCCTGAATTCCAAATGAGAAATGATCAGGTTAGCTGAAAGATCGTACTTTGGCAAAGATTTGCAACTCTTGCAAGTTGTAAAACATGAAGGCCAGTTTAATGAGCTGCCTCTTGTCAGCAGCCACCTCACCTTTTGGAGCAGGGACTGTCACAAGGCCCTGTGCCATTTGACAGCTCAGTCTTTGCTGGGCATCAGGTCAGAAGTGGTTCTTGCAGCATTTCAGTCTTCTCTGTAGACTGCATAGACTTTCTAACATAAGCTATTGACCCCACTGGTGTGGCTGCAGTGTGGTGTGCTGCACCTAAGCCATATTGGGAAGGAGCTGAAGATGTACATGCCAGCTGAGATGAGAGACCAGGGAAAAAGGGGTATTTGTGATATGCTGGCTTTGGCTCCTGGTTGCCTGTGTATTACCCAAGAACAGTTGCCTCGGATTGGTGGCAAGATTGGCTACCCAGCTCATGGGACTCCATGTTTCCAAAGCGATGTATGTGGATGGGCAGAGCATTCTGGTTAGGTAGGCTGGAGGAAAGTTAGCTTCTAGAATGCCTTTTTTGCAGCTTGTCTACTCTCAGACTAGAATTGTGTTTATTTTTGGACAGTCTCCTGTCTGAACGGTAAACTCCTGACCCAGGACTGGTAGCCCATCACAGAAATGTGGCACCTGCCTTGGGAACTGGCTGCCCCCAGATGGGGTCTGAGAGTCAGGCTTGCAAAGGCTCTCCCTATCTGTCCATCTGTCTGCTCCTATTGCAGGAGATTCAGTGAGTGGATGTGGACTCCCTGCTCCTGTGGTACTGGCCAGTCGTGGACAGATCACCAGACATCAATCACATCACTGCTCAGGCAGCAATGGCAAAAGGCCAAGACATTCCAGAAATGTGCTGGTTTGGGGGGTGGCTTTCCTAGTCTGGTTATCTGCACCTGTGTTCATTGTCCAGGATACCCAAATAGGAATTAGAGTGTTCCATTAGCTCTCCAAGCTCATCACCACTGAGGACACTAACTTCAAACTCATATGTATGGTACTTTATAGCTCGATCAGTCTGTTCTGGAAGCACTTCCACCTGATCTCCGGGAACAAGTAGAGCAAGTCTGTGCTTTTCAGCAAGGAGAGCCACATGGCAGCAGAAAGAACGAACCAGCAAATGGCTGTAATACAGGAATTTTGCCACAACCAGTTGGGACAGTTTTGTTACAAATACCAGAACCTCAAGAATCTAATAGTGACACAGGAATTAATGTAATAGCCCTTCCAGCATTTTCACAGGTGAGTTAAATATAGGGACCTACTCCGTTTCACTGTTCTCACCCCTCCTACCCCAGCTCAGGGCACAGCTCAGTGCCGTTTCCCTCTGCACCCTAAGCTCTCAGTGGCTGACACCGTGACCCCTGCAGGAGGGACTGGTTCCTCTCACACCATCTGCCGGCCATAGACTGTAGGAATTGGCCCCTGCCCCTAGGTGGGGTCTGAGAGGACGTGGGTGTTAAAAGCTTCCACCCAGAAGAAAGTAGGAAACATACTTATCTATTTCACAGGCCAGAGAGGCCACACTCAGGTCACAGGGTGGGCATCCCTAACAACAGACCAGGAACATTGAGACATTATATATGAGCCTATTTTTTTGTCCTTTGCTTCTCCTTTCTACTAGTTCTCCTTGCCTGGTAGTTTTGTAGTTTGGTGTTTTTAAATTCAATTTACTCCCCAAATTTTATTCCTTGTTCTCACCCTAAAACCTTGTGAGGCTTTTAATGAGCTTTGATACTGAGGATCTATTAAGAATTCATACTCCTCTGATATTATTTGAAAACCCGCTCTGGTTTGGACCTTCTCTTTGCCACTAGGTGGACCCTGAGGTGTTTGCTGCCCTTCCGTCTGAGCTTCAGAAGGAGCTGAAAGCAGCATATGATCAACGACAGAGGCAGGGAGAGAACCCCAGTCTGCAGCAGCAGCCAGCCAGTACGTTGGGTAAGTCCGGGAGAGGAGAAGGATGAGACTGTCACGTGTGGTAAACTGTCATGTAGACTGGCTGGGCTCTGAGCTGCTGGGCATGGGAAGAACTCCTTACGTTCAGATTTCAGTTTAACCTTCTTGACTTAAAAACACCATTCTTCACTTAAAGAAGTCTGAATTCTTGTCAAGCCACTTGTCCTTTAAAATTGACACATCACAGGAGTAAGTTTAAAACAAAAGGTTTCTGAACATGCAACACAAATACCACATTTACTCTAAAAACAGAATAGTGCCCACTCAGCTGTTATCTTAGGTACTTACCCATTGAATTTAATCCTTACAAGCACCACACTAGAGATAAGCAGTGTTTTTAGAAAGGTCACAGTCACTTGAGTGGCAGAGCAGGTACTAAGAACCGCAGAGCCTGCTCCTCCAGTGTCGTCACTGCTGCCTTGCATGGTGGGGTTGTGTGTGTGCACAGGGGTTGTTTGGGAGGAGAGAGAACCCGTGTTGTTGTACAGACATGTTTTGTTGAGGATTATGTCCCTCCTCTTCTAGTGCCAAAGAACCCATTACTTCAGCTAAAACCAACAACAGTGAAAGAAAAGAAGAGAAGAAACAAGAAAAGACATCCCATCAGTTCCCCAAAAAAGATTCAGAGTCCTTTGAAAAACAAGCAGCTTAATAGTCCTGCAAAAAGTTTGCCAGGGGCCTCTGGGAGTCCCCAGAAATTAATTGATGGGTTTCTCAAACATGAAGGTCCTGCTTCTGAGAAACCTCTGGTAATACTTTTTAATTTTTAAACTTTGACCTTAAATCTTAATATACTCAGTAGTTATGTAAATACAGCACTTTTTATGATACGTTTTAACAGGGAGAATGCTCTGCTTCAACTTCAGGAGTGCTAGGCCTTTCTGGTCTGCAGCCCGACCCATCTGGCAGTGTTAGACCCCCAGCTCCAAACCTGGCAGGAGCTGTGGAATTCAGTGACGTGAAGACCTTGCTCAAAGAATGGATCACTACCATTTCAGGTTGGCTTGGCTGGCTCTGTTCAGACTGACATGTAATTTCAGAACATAAACAGACTCAACTATATAGATGGAACTCATTTTTTAAAAATCTAATTAAGCTTGTAAACCAGCCACCTCCTAACCTTCTCAACTCCAGGGCTGGCTTTGAATGGTTCCCCACTGTACCCCCCTATTTATAGCTCCGAGTCAGTGTGGTATGGTTGCAGAAATACAGCTTTCCTTCACCCCTACAGCTCACCTTGACCTTTCAAAAGACAGGTTGGTCCTCATTTAAGGTTGTTCCCCTCTAGATCCAATGGAAGAAGACATTCTGCAGGTCGTGAAATACTGTACTGATCTAATTGAAGAAAAAGATTTGGAGAAACTGGACCTAGTTATAAAATACATGAAAAGGTAAATATCCAGTATTTTTATCAAAATGGAAAAATGGCATGTCACTGGCTGAGGGAGATGAGGTGCTAAGTTTTACACTTTGTCAGTGGTGTTAACTGCATTTACTGTCTAGGGTTAATGAAAAAGGGATGCCTTTTAATTTGAATCCCTGAGGTAGAAACTCCGTTAACACTGACTGGGTACTAGTAAATAGGGTCAAAACAAGATCATTCTCCTTGAAGTTTATATAGTTTAAAACCTTAGTAAGTACTCGAATGTTCTGTTTTGGGTTTTTTTTTGATAAAATTACTTTAAATTTTCATGAAATGTTAAAACTCTTAAGCCCTGAATATGTGCTAAACTGATCCTTGAAGAAGGAATCGGTCTTTCCTGATGATGTTTCTTCTCTCCCCACCTTCAGGTTGATGCAGCAGTCGGTAGAATCAGTTTGGAATATGGCATTTGACTTTATTCTCGACAATGTTCAGGTGGTTTTACAACAAACTTATGGAAGCACGTTAAAAGTCACATAAATATCACCAGGGAGCCTGGCTCTCCCCTAGCTGTGCCATAAGTGCTTGTGAGGTATTTGCAAAGTGCATGATCGTACTGCTCTGAGTTTTTTTATAAGTTTGAATTTCTTTTTAAGCAAGCGTTTTGTACATTTCTTTTCAATAAGTGCCAAATTTGTCAGTATTGCATGTAAATAACTGTGTTAATTCTTTTACTGTAGTATAGATTCTATTTACAAAATGTTTGTTTATAAAGTTTTATGGATTTTTACAGTGAAGTGTTTACAGTTGTTTAATAAAGAACTGTATGTATATTTTGTACAGGCTCCTTTTTGTGAATCCTTTAGGAAGCAAAGCCTGACCTGTTCATTATACTTAAAGGCTGAAAAATCTCCAGGCCAGACTGTTAAAGCCCATGCTAGCTTTGCACTTCCTGAGCGGTCCCAGACTGGGGTCCTGCTTGTTCCAAGCAAGGGTAAGCCTTCTGTGCCATCTTATCCTGTCCCCCAAGCACGAACACAGGAGTATGTTAAGAATATCTTCTTTACTTCTTCCAAGTGGAGGAGTTTACAGTTTGAATTAGCACATGCACACTGAAGATTGTTTTTCCTGGGAAAATGATGTCCCAAAGAAGGGTTACAGGTGGTGTCCTTGCCTCTCCTGGCCCTTGAGCGACTGCAAGAATGACGAATGGTACAGATTTTCAAATTATTTTTCTATGCTCTGTTATGCTGTAACACTTGAAAAATAGAGTTTGTAATTCTATGCCAGTGGCTACTTGGGAACATTTTCTTCAAACATCCCACATTGACTTCAACACTGCTTATACAGATGCAGTCAGATCTCACACCAGTGGAGTTCTTACACTGGGGAAAGTTCCTCATGTGGACCCACTTCCACATTTTTCAAGAAAATCCAAACTAGTACAGTAAGATTACTAATAATACGAATAAAATCCTTAGGCTGCCTCTGTAACGAGTTAGAAAAAAGCACTACACTCCAGATAATTCCCTACTGATTGTCTCATCAGATGAGATGTATGCATGACAATTTTCTAGGCAAAAACAGATCAAGATTATAGGCGTATGAAAAGTCCCAATGTTAAAATGTGTTAGTAGTACACCAGGTGTGAGAGTCACTAAAATAGTCCTTAAAAGAACAAGCTACACCCAGGATGATGGTTTGGGGGAGAAGCTGCACTACCCGTGGGAGCCTAGCAGGCTTACTGGTGAAGGTCTATTTCTTTATTGGTAGTTCAGAATTGTGCTGATCACAGTGGGCGCTACACAAGCAGTAAATAGCAGCCAGCTGTGCTTTACACCATGGTTCACAAGCAGATGAAAGAAACAGAATGCTTAACTTTCTATTTTAAAAAATTCCTAAGGGCAGATGGCAGAAGAATGCTGGAAAAATCAATGTGGGAAGGATATGCATAAAGTATTTCTTACATCAAAAAAGTCCCAAGAATCACAAAATCTGCAGAAGCTTTTGGTTAGTCAAATACTGCAGTACTGATTTAATCAGTATAAAATTCAAAGAGCTTTAGATCAGTAATAAAAATCTCAGTTTTGGGGAAGGGCAAACTTTAAAACAGCAGCCAGTAGAGAAGGGTTAGGAAAGAGTGAGCAGGCACGTTGGAACTGTGGGGACATGTAATCGACCACTGTCAAACCAGTGTAAGTTTCTTGGTTTCTCATGGAAAACATTTTATACACCTATTTTTTTCCTTCCATACTCAAGTTCATCAGTGTCCAGATATAGCCATTCCATTTTTTTGTCTTGTTTTCTTGGTGATATTACAATGTAACAATGCACTTATTCCAATTCCTGCCCCGTGTGGAAAAATTAGATGATTTCAAATACTTTCTTCAGCTCCACAATAAGCTGCCAGTCACTCTTCTGCATGTCATCTCGGAACCAGTCTTTGAGGGCGTCGATGGACTGCCGGCTGATCTGCAACGGCCAAGGCACAAACAGGGTAAACAAACGTAACAAGTGCCAAAGGAAAGCGCTGGCCCCAGACTGCCACCCCATGCTGCTCATCACCGGGAAGGCTGAGGCCCTGCCTGCCTGCCTGCCAGTGAGAGGAGAGCCCTGGCACTGTGTTCGGTGAGTTAGGCAGAAGGCCTAAGGAGGCACTTTCCTCAATTAGGGAAAAGTCCAATCCTGTCAGATTCTTAAAAGTTCAGCCCCCAGAGCTAGTGAGAAAAAGTAACCAGAAAGCTGACCCCGCTTTCTTGGACAGGCCACTCTCACAGGGACACTTACCTTACTGACAAGAATGTCTGTCGCTTCAAAATGTCTTCCATACATTTTGGGAGATTCACCGGGGATAGGTTCTATTTTAACACAGACTTCTTGTCCTTTTTTTGCAACATCCACTTGTTTATGGTTTATTTCAATACTTGTTACTATTCCAATGTCTACAAACTGAAACAAAAACAGAAACCACAGTGTAAGTAGAGCAGTGCCAGCCACAGGTGCCACACTGGACGGCTGGAGAACTACTGGAGAGGGGGCCAAAGCTAGACCATCTTATGGCACTTAGGGTCCCCAAGGGAGGACACCATCACACTCCCTCTGTCCTTCACAAGACGGTGGAAAGGACAAAAGATCATCCATGTGCTGTGGGCAACTTTAGTGCTTGGTCAGTCCACTCTAGTTTTCTGTATAACAGGCCCCATAAAGAGGGAATAGCGGGCACAAAAGTTCGGAATCAGGAATGAGCATGGAGTAGCTAGTGGGGTGAGGAAGAAATGTAGTCAGACAGTGGCAACCCGACTCAGGAGCACATCAGTGGGGGCCCTGTGGGCCATGCTTAGAATTTCCCATTTCATTCTGAGGGTGTTAGTTGTGAGTGACTTCATCTCCTGATCTCGAGTTTAGGGGGAAACATTTTTAAACCCCATTCTGCTGTCTGCCTTGAGAAGAGATGCAGGTGAGTAAGTGAAAAATGAGGAGTTTGATTTGGCCAAGGCCATGCAGGAAATGACTGCAAATCAATGCCCCAGCTCCATCCACTGAAATGGGTATAGAAGCAACAAGTCACGGTGCTCAGGTAACTTCTAAGCACCATTTTCCACAGAAGGAACCAGGTGGGGAGCAGGAATGTACTAGATGAGGCTGGAGCATCTTGCTGCACCAGAAAGGGGAAAAACTCCAAGGACTACTACCCCAGCTTTGGTAGGACCACACTGATCAGACTACGTAATGTGGGTGCCGGAAATATTAGTAATGAATCATACCAAAGGTTTTCAAAAAGCTAACCAAATGCATGAAATACTAAAAGGTTAGAGGAGGGAAGCATGGGGGGAAGAAAATGACAATTCTGCAAGCATTTATGTAATTGACTTGGGCAAGGATTGCTGATGGTTACTAAAACCACTGGGGAGAAAGGTGCTGGAGAAACGACATTCCCAGAGCCTCCAAGTCCACAGGGAGTATTTCCAAATTACAGGCGGGAACAGGCATCTCCCCTGTAACCCCATCAGCACCCCTGACAATCTGAGCAGTGCTGCTACGTGGGGGCAGTGAGCATGCAGCTTCCCTTCCAGTAGTTGTAACATGTGTCTGCTTGTGGGGAAACAAGTAGGCAGATACAAGTTGAGAAACAATTTGTGAAGCAACTGGTCTGGACTCTTGAAAAAGAACGGGGACTGCCCCTGACTGAGACTAAAGCACGTGATAACCAAATGCAGTGCACCTTTTGAAGAGGTCCTGGGCCAGGTCAGCAGGTGGAATTATTACACGTTTGGGACAACTGGTGAAATGTGAGTGGGACTAAGTTACAGGACATTACTAAATTACAGTGACTTTTCTCAGGTATGACGCTCACCTGGAGGAAAGGAATATGGGTGTTTGTTATTCTAACCTTTAAACTTTTCCCTAAGCCTGAAACTTCACAATTTCTTTTAAAACAACAACAATTTGAAGTACCCTACAACTTTACGTGAAGCGCCACGCCACTATCAGGTGCTGCAGAGTCACTCTGGACTAAGGACACTGAAGTATCAATTACAGAAGGTGATGAGCTCTACTTGAGTGGTGTTTCTGTCATCACTCTGACACATGTCTTTAAAATACAACCAGAACTTACATTTTTGCTAGGGACACACATGGGTGTCCCTTGTTTCACCTGACCTGCTTCCACAGTCACTCCCATCACTATTGGGTCCCGAGAATTGAAAATATATTGAGGGAGGATTTTCATCTTGCAGGGAAATACTGCTATATGCCTAAAAGGGAAAAAAAAATTTCTAAGCTTACAAAATCAAAGAAAAACCCAAATACAGGTTATTAACCTTATTACACAGGTTAACCTTACTAACCCAGTAAGGCTTCTTAATGTTCTGCTGCAGCCCTGGAGAGCAGCAGGAAGAGGTGGATGCTGCCCCAGAAAGCATGGGCCCAGGGCTCCTGTCTGCTGCTCCATTCTGTCTGCACCCCCTTCCCTCCCCCCATACCATTCTGTAGCTTCCCAATCTTGCTAAAACAGCTGCATTTTGTGCCCAGACTACAAGGCTGAGTGCCAGCCACCCTTACAAATGGAGCTTAGAACCTTGAAGGGTCCTTCCGTCAGGCATGTCATAGGGCATGTGCGTAGTCTATTTTGGGAGCCACATAAGCATCAAACAATATCCTTTCTCTATGCTGTTTCCAAACCAGTGGATCCAGAAAGCTACTATCTAAAGCAAGCCATGTCCCAGTTGAAATCCTTATACCTAGCAGTCAATCCTACTTTTTAAATGTACCCCAGATTATACCATCACTCTCCATAGTCACTCTGCTCTGGGCCACCATTGTCTGGCTTGAGCCTCCTGCAAGACCTCACTGGCTTCTGAAGTCTTTCCCATGGCCTCCCGAGATGAGCAATGCCAGCTGCTCTGACCTCTTCTATCACTGCCTTAGGTGCTGGCCTTCTGCCTGGACACTGCACATGTTGACTCACCTCGCCCCCTTCAGAGCTCTACCTGGATGAGACCCACAGGGATGAGCTGATCACAGCTCTGCTCCTCAGCCAGGCCCTTCCCTGTTCGCTTTTGCTACTCAGCACTTCTCCCCACTTTGCATGCATCCACTGCTCGTCTCTGTGAGCTTGGGAGGAGGGGACCGAGTTGGGACTGTGGCCTTCCATGCTCTTGTGGCTATGCTGCCCACACTGGGTCCTCTGATGTCTGCAGGAGGGATGAGCTTTTCTCCCATGGAATGTCTCCCCTCATTTCATTTCCTAATTTTCCAGACCCTCATTTTGTTACTTCCATTCCATACAGTATATCCCAAATAAGAACTCCGGCAAGATAAAGTCCCCAAATATAACTCTTCACCCTATACTGAGGCCTAGGTCTGCCAAGATGAAAATTTAAAAAGAAACAGGCTTTGTTCACACACTGATGGAATGTCTCAGGTGTGCAGCATTTGTGGTTTATAACATACCACTTCAGATACAGCCTCTGGTAGATGAGTAAATGTCATGTTTCTGCTGTCTACACACCTTTCTGGCACAGTTAGCCCCCACTTTTTGGAAATTTGCATTAGGCCAATTCACTTTTAAAAAGTTAGCACCTGCTTTTACTAACAAAGGAATTAGAAGAAGATTTTTGCTTTTAAGAAAATAGAGTGAAAACAATGTCCTGTGTTTGTTCTGCAGTGATCCCATAGAGGCAGCATCCACCCCAAGTAGCCAGAGGGGCCCCGCCGAGCTCCTTCCCCAGGAACTATACCAGCACTTCAGCATTGTGTCATAAAAGCTTTGAGCATGTGTGGGAGCACCTGTGCCTCATCTCTATTTTGTGCATCTGTTAGCAAGATGTGTCCTAAGGTGTCAGAAAAAGCCTGAAAGAGGTTATTTTTTGTGTTGGAATACTAAAAAAAAATTCCCACATAAATTAATGGTAACTGCTTCTTTGCTTTATACCATTTCAGCTTACTGGATGTTTTCATGGGAATGCTCTACTAGCAGAGAGCAGGGAAACCCATACTTGCTAATCCTCAATTAACTGACTTCATTACCAAGATCCAAAGTGTAAAACCAACTTACTTAAATTCTTCTTGTTTCTGTTTCTTGTAGTCTTGTCTATATTTCGTAAAGGCATCAAATAGATGATAAATAATTTCTGCACTAAAAATCCTAACTCCTAAACTATCAGCCATTTCTTGTGCATCCCGTTCGATTCTCACATCAAAGGCCAAAATTACTGCATACCTGAAAGGTTAAAACACATTACAGATCATTCAGTGAACAACAGGACAAGCTGAAGAAAGCAAGTAGGTACTACAAAAGCCTTCACAGCAGAAGAGAAACTACTCACTGAGGATCATGTTCCAGCATCACCGAAGCCTTCATAACATCTTTTTTATGGACTGGCCCAATGTTGATTCCTGCATACTGTAAAAAGGGAGTTTCCAAGTTTAACTGCCTATGTCAGGAACCAGAAACAGCACCACAAACCGTGGCTGCCACTGACTTGGGAAGTTGGGCACCACTACTTACGGGCACTTCTGACGTTTTCAGGAATTCAAGCAGTGCTTCCAAAGACCCCAGTGTAGATGCCTGCACATAGACTCCCTTTTCTTCTAGTTTGATAGCATTTAGTGTCTGCTTTAATTCATGGATCAATTCATCCTTAAATAGAAATTAGATTTGGCAAGGTTGTAAATACATCTATCACCAGCTGCCTAAAATTATACCATTTCTCTTTCTGAGTAACTATTCATCTGAAACTAGGACACTGAGGCATAGAAGAGCAAGACGCTGCAGGCCCTGTGCTGGGATGGAGCAGGAGACGGGGGCCCATATCCAAACTGCACCCATTTAGTCTCTGTCTGAGACTGACGAATGGTGAAATATATTTAAGCTCAAGGCCAACTGGCACATAAAGTAGGGGACTGAGTAGAATGAAATTTTAAGTCAGAATCTTTTTAAAGTTAAAAGTACTACATAAACGTATTACGTTATCAAATACTCAAAAGCCCAAACAGTCTACTTTATCTTAACTCTGAAATGCCTTCATCTCAGCAGCCCCTTCCACTGCCATTGTGCCTCTGGAAATGAAGAGATTTGACCAGAAATAAATAAAACAGCCATGTTCACCATCAAAGATGCACACGTCCAAGCCATACTTGGGGTTGGCCTGCTTTGCTCTCACTGGCCTTCTGGTGGCCGATTCCCTGATGCTGGTGGCCTGAGGCTGCCTAAATAATAATTGTGATCCCCACACACCAGCCAGCTGTGTACTGTAAACAGCATCTCCTCTCTTTGAAAGGAGTAAATAAGCTGTGCCTCAAAGTTTGCTTTTGTCAAACTATTCTGGCCTCATGCAGGCCATCTGCTCTTACAAGTAGGCAGACAGGTTTCAAAATGACTGGGGATATCAAACGACTTCTGGCTTCTGATTAATTCTGTATTTTAGAATTGTAGTGTATATAAATATTATTTATGCCAATCCATATGGTTGTACAAACAGTATTTTAAAAGCACAAATACTTGTTACAAGGACAACCAGATATGGCTTCACAAAAACAACGATACCCATTTTTATTCACCATTCCTAGCATGTGTCCTATTGACACAGCAGAAGTCAAATTGCTCTGGAGGAAAAAATAATTAAAATAACTTACTTTAAGAACTGGGATCTCATCTTCTTTATAAGCCACCAGGAGGGGTAAACCAGCCAATGTTTTCTCGAGGTCTTTTCCAAGGATTTTTACCCCCTGAGCTGCTTCTACTTCTTTATGTTTTTCATACTGGTTCTATGTAGATCAAAACATTTATTACCACATTTATTTGAAATGTGGTTAGCAGAAGGACTTGATGTAAGAGAGAGTATTTTTCTGACTCTGGGGTAGAGAAGTTTTCTTAAACTAGACACAAAAAGCAATGGACACAAAAGACTGATAAATTCACATTAAAATTAAGTATTTCTGTTCCTCATGATACCACAGAAAAAGTAAAAGACAAGTCATAGAGCAGGAGAAGCTGCTCTAGCAAATACAAGCCATGAGACGAGTATCCTGACCACACACAACACCTACATATCCGCCCAAAGACAGACCATGCCAGGGACAGTGGGCATTTCACAGGGAGGGAATTTAAATGGCTAACACACAGAAAATGATGACCACACACATTTCAATCAGGCACTCGCAAGCTGAGACAATAAAGAGCTTTGTACCTACCACATGGGAAAAATCTAAATCTGACTGCATCAAAGAGCTGATGAAGAAGTGAAATAATGAAAACTCTAAAATTAAAATACTGCAATTAAAAGTATAACTTGTTACATTCCCTGTGGACAGCAGTGTGGCCTCATCTCATAAAGCTGAAGCTAAACTTCAGTAATGACTCCTCAATTCACTCTGACGTGAATACCCTGGAGAAACGTGCACAACTACACCAGGAGGTAATACGAGTGTTCACAGGCACAGGGTTTGAACGCAAACCTTTTGTCAGTGGGAACAAAAGGAGACGGCCTACATTTCCCATTAGCCAGAGGGCACAGACCCTGGTGTACTTGTGCAATGGCACACTCCACAACAGAAATGAGCACAGCCATAGGCAGCAACGGGTGATTAAAATTCTCTGTTACTGAAAGAAGCCAGATACCAAGGAACACACAGAGCATGGCTCCGTTCATATAAAATCCACGTATATTTTGTAGTGGTGCTCTCCCAGGTACTACACCAAAGAAAAAGTAAGGATATTAGCTACTACCACAAAATGGAAGCACAGTTAACTTTCAGGGAGCAGAGGGAGCAAAGATCAGGAAGAGGCTTATAAAAGGCTTCTGGGGTATCAGCAATGTTCTGATTCTTGACCTGGTAGTTTGCTTCCTAAAAATTTGTTAAAATTCTGTGTACTTTTCTGTATGAATGTTGAATGTTTTATTTCACAATAAAAATGTTAGTAAAAAACTAGTTAGCAGTGCAGAACCAAAACAACGTACTTTACTTTTTATGAAAAGCTTAGCTGGTAAAGAACTTTCAAACACCTTCACTCTGATGGATGGTCCCCTCCTATATGAAGACATCCCAAATAAAACGAGAAGTGAGGGTGTCTGTAGTATATTAAGCCAAGCAGCTCTCCAAGTACACAAATGACCTCAGCAGAACTTCTAAACATTGTCCAAGTCCCCATGTGCCAACACGCCCCACCTTGGCTTACCTTCACTCGTAATTCCTTCATAGGAGGAGGTAACAGGAGGCCTCGAATCTGAGTTACAATGGGCCCTTCCACTCCAGGAACAATAATTGTATCTCCTTCCTTCAAACGCCCATTGATCAATATCACATCGATAGTGGTGCCCATTCCTGGAAGAGCCTTAACCTAAAAGACATCATTGCAATGGGGGGTGAAATATACAAAACACACCACACTGATTAAACTAAGGTAGTTAACATCCAGGAACTCACTGTTCGCCATTACCTCCATCACCTGTGCTCTCAGCTCTTCACAGTGTGCAAGTCTCTTGCTCAACATGGTCTGAGTTAACTCAACAAGAAGGTAGATCAGACTTCCCATGCCATCACCAGTATGTGCAGAGGTAGGTACCAAGGACACAAAAGTGCGGGGATCTTTGTTCTCATAGAACAAGGCTGCATTCAAACCCTAGGACATTAACCAGGACAATCATTGCCAAGGCCAACCTTGGAAGGAGGTACTGAGAACAGAAATGACTGACTAGAAGCTGGATGAGCCAATGGCTAATCATTCTGAAACTCCTCAAAAACACTCAGGAAAAGATCATGTACATCCTGCAGGTGCTAATAACTATATTACAGAAAAGTTGTTTCTTTCCAAGTCAAATAGGTCTTTAAAATTGAAACATTCAGACTACAAATAAAGATCTTTGAAATATCAGCTTTCTGGTTTAAAAGGAGAAGAGAAAAAAGAATGAAAATACTGTCATTAATAAGGGAACAGAATCAGTGTTAAGGGAAATGCTGGCTTTGTTATAAAAATAATAAAGAAAAATCTATTCTATGATGTAGGCTTTTCGTAAAGAAGGAGAAGCTTCTTACCTGCTGTGCAAATTCCACAATAATAGCCTTTGCTCGCTCCTCAAATTCATCTTTTGTATTCTTCTTCTGCTTCTTTAAAGTAGCAGCCACATCAGAGTCGGGGCTCTTTTTCCAATCATACAACCTATCAATCTGGAAACAGTTTTTAAACGTCTCTACAACATTCAGAACACTCAAGAATTTAAT